TTGATTATATATATATATATATATATATATATATATATATCGAAGTAAAAAAGATAATTAATTATGATAATCAATTATAATATGTTGATAATATGTTTTCACATTTTGACAATTGATTATAAACTTTTGAAAAATTATTTTAATTAATTTTTTTTATGTATATATAACCTAGAGTATACACGAGGATTGCAAAATAAAAGATATTAATAAGAGAAGAAGAAAAGAGACATTTATTCACTTAAAAAAATCCCAGAGTACAAAAGGGGAATTACAAAGGAAGATTACAAAAAGGGCATTTTGAAATATAAGAGAGATAGAGAGACTTTGATTTGGAGTCAATTGATCGATGTTTTTCTTAACAACTAAGGGTATTTATAACTACAAAGGTTACAAATTTCAGTCATGAAACTCAAAACTAATTCATAAATAAGAAGTGTATTGTTAAGAGATAAGAATTCTGTTGAAGATAAACGTTTATAAACGTTTGTTGTTTGCAGTAATTGGCCAACAAGTGTTGATAAGATTCTATTTTGCTTGAGATGAAGACTTTGATAAGTTATTTGTTGTTTTGTGCCGATAATTTTAATTGGCTTACATACGCATTTTCAACTTTTGACTCTTTTTGTTTTGTTTTTTTTCTTTTCTTTTTTTCCTTTCCCTTATACTTTTGTTAAGAAAAGACATACACAGAAGGGGAGAGGGGCTTGAATAATGTGTATCAAAAACTCACGCGTTTGTGCATTGAAAAGAAAATAATTAATCAAACGAAGCGTTGAAGAAAAGTTAGATAAAACACTGGGGTTTTTATGCTGGTTCGTCTTAATCACCAAGACTATCTCTAGTTCCCAATCCAACTAAATTGAGTTTCACTAACTTTTAACAAAGTTATAAGTATTATTTTACCAGGCCAATTCTAGCTCAGTCCTAAGTAGTTTTTGACTTGCCTCTTCAAGCAACTACTCAAGTATTCTTTGAACAACAAACCTCTCTAAGCTCAACACTAAGTATTCTTTCAGAAAACCTCTTCATGCTCAACATCAAGTATTCTTTCAGAAAAGCCTCTTTATACTCAACACTAAGTATTCTTTCAAATAAGTCTCTCCAGACTCAATACTAAATATTCTTTCAAACAAGCCTTTTTAGGCTCAACCCTTACAACAAATGTAATAGATGATTACAAGATTGTTTTGTCTCTTCTAGATGTGGTGTAATCAATAATGAAAGCACAAATAATCTATAAAGAAATATATACATAATTTACAATAAGTGTTTCTTTGTAGTTTTATGTTCTGTGTATTTCAGTATGCTTCTCTATACAATTTTCTTGATATGTATATCTTTTTCTATATATGTTGTTTGAAGACTTGATCTTTTTATAGTAGTTCCAAAGAAGATGATCGTTGTGACAATTTTGAACTCACAATATTGCTTCACGAGTTGCCTCATCTATCTTTTCCACTGATTTAGAGATTACCATTGATGCAAGTTCATTGAAATATGAGATTTTTTTATGGCATGTAATTTGTCATATTTTCTTAGGTTTACCAGATAGACGATATAACATTTATGACTAAAGGAATGATGTAGATGAAGGCTAAAATTCCCTATCAACCTAGTCAAATGAAGCGGTTGGAAATACATGGAGAAGAGTAAATATTCAAAGAAAATGATAATTGTTTCTTTGAATATATTGAGAGAGTTTATAGAATAAGTTTGGTGAGAAGGAGAAAGGAGATGATTTGGTCTAATAAGCACAAGAAAAAAAATTAAAAACTGAGCATGAGATTGATATTGCAAGTCATGGGTTGAGTACGAAGGATAACAGGTTGGCATGGTGATAGGACTTATGAGAGAAAAATTTATGCTGAGGTGACAAGTCTTTGGATTTCCTATTATTCCATGTAATGAGTTTTAGAATACCAAGATGTCTTGTCATTTCATGAAGACCCCTGACACACTTAGACAACATGTTAGTGTACATTTGCATATCAGATGTAATAATAATCAGATGAAACATGCAATATGATCAGATGAATCATATATGACATGTTGGTCACTTGGATGGACTAGGAGACATGTTGTCCTCACATGTCTCAGACATCCAACCCACTTGCACAAGGAAGTGGATGTCCAAGCCACATGGATCAATGGTTGAAAATTTGGCCCATCGAAGCCTAACACCACCTAATGGACATTTTCTAGTTACACTCCTTCTAAACTATTTACACCCTTAAAATAAAATACAATATAAGGACAAAAATTCATATACTACATGACTAAAACCAAGGTCTAAATAAGGAAAATATTTACAAGACAAAATATACATAAAGAAGAGAAAACAAATTAATATAAGGAATCAGTGACTCAATTAAGAGCTTAGGCCTTCCTCTTTAAGTCTAGTCGACTCCTTTTGATTAATTAAAACATGGATGTTAGGTGTGATGTCATCACCAACACTTCTAGAGCTTACTCACCACACCTGACCACAATGCCACATCACACAACCTCATCCCACAAAACTCCACCACAACACTGAAAACTTCATTTATTTTCTCATGTTGCTCTATTTCCTTTTTATTCTCAGTCTGTCTTTTTTTTCTTCTTCTCTCTTCTTCCTTATTCCTACTTTCATTCATTGCATCGACAACAATGACATCACCTTTATGTGTCACTTTCTTTTGCCCAATTTCTCTCTAGCTCACTCTTTCTTTCTACTCTGATCTTCATGATGTTCTCTCAAATAGATGAATTAACAAAGGAACCCTAGCTTTGAATAGCACTATCATATTAGTCCATGAAATTAAGAAATTGTGAAATAGGTCTCTAGAAATGGAACAATCATATTAGTCCAAAATCCCAAAAAAGAATGTTTGACTAAGTAAAGTGATAATATTGATTTATATTTAGAGATAAAAATGAAAGTGTAAGTAACTAAATTTATGGAATTATTTGACATTATAGGAATTATTTGACATTATAGGAATTTTTTTGGACAATTTCTTAGTTTCAAGAACCAATATGCGCTTTACAAATTAGGGTCTAGAATAAGTGTTTAGTCTTCAAAATTTTGTGTTTAAGCTTACATAAAATCTAGTTTATGACATGGAAGTTATTTTTTTACTTATTTACAATAATTTGATCAAATTACTAGTTAATTTAGAATCTTTAACATCTTACACAATGAACTGAATATTATAAGTATAAAGTTTGCAGAAATAGTTACTTTAATATTTGTGAATATTACAAACATAAAGTATGGCCAACATTAATCCCATTTTAAAATATAAATTTGAGACTAACTTAATCTAAAAGAACTGACTTATAAAATAAGTTTTTGGCATAAATTCTTTTTAAGGAGAAAATAAGTTAAAATTTCAAACTTGCTAACTAATATAGAATAAGATGTTTATTTATTTAATAACGAAAGTGAAAGAATAGTATGATAGTAAAAAGGGTTTCTAAATTAAAAAAAAAAATTAAAGAATTAAAAATTTATAAATTATAAATTACTTCAATTAATTTAAAATAGAAATTATAATATTATGCTCCTAAATTAAATTATTCAAATAGCTTGCCTAATACACTCTTTATACAAATATCTATTTAAGGGAGTCACATCTCGCATTAATAGATTTTTTTCATACAACTTAGAGATCAAAGTTTTGACCACACATTTAAGGAGCGGCATGACTACTTGTCGTCTACATTACACCATGTTAGTTACAGTCACATCTGTTAACTATACTACATTTACACCATGCATCCCTTATTATTAATTGTAAAAAAAAAAACACAATAAATAAATAAAAACTCACATATATGCTTGTTGAATCAATGCTCGAAAGATGGTTGAAGAGAAAAACAGATTTGCATGTGTGCAATATTTATATTTCCTTTCTGCTATTTGCCTCATCAGTGACGAATAACAATCGAATTTTGGTTTTTGTACACGTTGCTTAGCTGTGATCTTTAGCATATTCGACACAGCTAAAATATGTTGTCTGAATCATCACCGAAAGTTGACCAGTATTGTCTTTCCCATGTGATGATCATGCTACCTCAAATCAACATTGCAAGTAGTTCTTGCCCACTGATACCACACTCAAAGCACGTTTGAAATTTTGTTATTTATGCTTCACAAATCTAATCAAATATTTCCGACAAGACAACCCTTCTATTTTCTCAATTATGATCAAACATAAATACTGAAAAGAGAATAGAAAAGAAAAAAAAAAAGTTAAAACAGTTTAATCATAATTTATATATATTGAGATAGGAGGATCAGTATACTTCATGAATAAGATAAAAATTTATAATTTAATTTATATATTAAAAAATTTAAATTCAACAATTAGATCGTTAAAATTTGATGTACAAAAAAATTAAAATTTATTTGATATTTCATTTTATTAATTCAAATTAACATATAAAATATTTTTTTAATTATTCATCAATTTAAATTAATGAAACAAAATATCAAATAATTTCAAAATCTTTTAAAAATTTACACACTTAATCTATATATTAATAACTTTAAATTTAATCATTTGATTATTAAAATTTGATATAGAACATAAATTATTAAACAAAGTAAGTTAATACTTAAATTTACTCCTAGAATAAATAAATATCTCCTCGTATATATATATATATATATATAATTCTTGAATTTTGAAACTCATGAATTTCGAATTCCTTTTCAATCAAATTCTAGTATATATATTCCAAACCGTAAGTATATATTAGGTGCTGCTTCCCATCAGTTCGTCATCACAAGCTAGCTAAGCTAAGGAACAAGTTTTTAAACTTGTTTTTTCTTTAAAAGATATTAAAATTCTAGATTCCTTTTATATCAGTGAGAACCGAACTTAGTTACAAGAGAATTACCATACTCACACGTTACTCAACCAACTGAATTAGACCGTTTAAAGTCCTATAATTCTAATTGAGTTAGAGATCGTATATATTATTTATATACTCCATTCCATCTTGGTAATTTTATTTCCCTATTAGCGATTCTTACTCAGTTTTGTAAATTGAAAACTGAATGTGCAACAAATATACATCAATAAATTTTAGACTAACCATATGCAAAACACAAAAAGGTGTAAAATAAATCTGTGAAGAAATTAAATAAAAAACTAATCTTCCTATAAGAATCTTTTAAATAATTTTCTCAATAATTTAAGTATTACAAATAAATAAATGAAAATTTAGTATTTAAAAATAAAAATACTGAAGGAAGGGAAATTTAGTAACTAAGAAAATTGTTAAAAAAATATATATTACTGAAACATTTTTAGAATTATTCTTCGTTGACTAAGCTTAGAAGTTTTGGGTCGTAATTCCATATATAGTAGCGACATATATAAATTGAAATCTTATCGATATCTGATACATTTTCATTGTGTGCCACTATGGTGACACTCTTCCACATATGCTGGAAAATTTTATCTTACAGCATCACAACGTGCTCCTCGCACTTTGAACGATTTGCATTGGTGCTTTTTCAGCGAATTAGTGAGAGTAATGATCAAATTGTCTACTAGGAAATTTTGCTCTGAAATTTTCTTTTGTTGCTTGCTAGAATGGCCAATCCTATTAAAAAAAAATGCTAAAGGAATTTAACTATTTAAGAGTGTGCCTTTTCATTCTATTATTTTTGCCAATTTTGTTTTGATGTCACGATTGACGATGATTTAGGAGATATTTACAAAATGCAAAATCACGAGAAGAAGTGGCTCGCTCGTTAATTAATTAAGTTGCATTACTTTTTTGTTGGGTGATGAACAGCACATAAAGCAATTATAATTAATTAAGATGCCTTTTTTATTAATATTTTTCCTTTAATAAATTCATTTCAGATTTTTTATATTATTATTTAGGCAAAACACCTAATTTGGTCCCTTATAATAATTAATAATTTCAATTTCGTCCCTCTATAATTTTTTGTTTCAATTTAGTTTCCAATAATTTAAAAAATGTCAATTTGGGACTTTCCGTCCAAATTTCACAAACGGTGTTAAATGTGATGATGATGTGAATGTCACGTAGATGCATAGGTGGCATGCCTCCTCACCCCTTTTTTTAATGATCTGGAACGGGTCGTTCTGATTTCTGAACGGGCCGTTCCACATCCAAGGATTGTTCTTGATTTCTTAGTTCTCTCCCTATTGAAATTTTGACCAAGGCAAATTGTGAAAAAGGATTGATTTTATTTAGAATTTTTCATATAGAGTATAATATAAATTTCGAGAAATTCAATGGTATCTTTGGATTTAAAACCATAGGGGAAAAACAACCCAAGATCATTTAATCCATACATGTTTTGGGGATTGTAACAAGTCATACACAATGAGAGGCTGGTAAATGTAATTCATCGTGGTAGCAATGATGAAAAAATAGGGATAAGAAGATCAACTCTGGTGCATATTTTAATATTTGAATTTATGTTATGTTATAAATTTTTGTTCTCAATCTTTGAACCACATTGATGCATTTTGTTGAAATGTAACACTTAAATTTAAACATCAGTCAATGCTCCTTTAATGTAACACTTAAATTTAAATTTAAACATAAATCCTGGTTGGCGTCCTGGAACAGTCCGTTCTGAAATCAGAACGGCCCGTTCCAAAACTAGAACGACGCGTTCTAATGCACTCATTGTGTGTTACATTTTCACATGGAACGGCCCGTATCAGATACAAAATTAACACATAATGAGTGGGATCAGAACAGGCCGTTCTGGAACCGGCCCGTTCCAGCTGCATTAAAGAAGGAGTATGGAACCTTGCCACGTGTGTATCTACGTGGCATTCACGTCATCTATATTTAACACTGTTTGTAAAATTTGGACGGAAAGTCCCACATTGACATCTTTTAAATTATTGGGAACCAAATTAAAACAAAAAATTATAGAGAGACAAAATTGAAATTATTAATTATTATAAGGGATCAAATCAGGTGTTTT